GGGAGTAGAGGCGAGAGGCATCTGTTGCCTTTTCGGGGACGGGTCCAGTGGTTGTGTTTTGACCAGACCCGTTTGACCTCTCCGACTGCCCCACTCGGTCGTCATTGTGAGTGGTTGGTGGGTGCTCTGGTGTGGTTTACTTCTTCTTCCCTCTCAAACATCTATCGTCCTTATCTCCCCTTCTTCTTTTTTATGTTTGTTACGCTCTTGTAACACCTCTAATCTTCTGGCGCTCATATGACCTTATGCAGTTGCGAGCACCGTAAACCCTCTACTAAAAATTAACCTGGTTGTGTTGCAAGTGCCGTAAAACTCTCGCTCAAACTACAACAAGCGTCACACAGGATGGCCCGGGCTGTTGACTGTTGACGCCTCGTGCTGGATGGAGACAAGTTTGGAGGAGGCGGGGAGGAGGGGGGGGGGAGATCCGAGTGTCCCGAGTGGTCAAGTCTTAGTAGCCGAGTGGTCAAGTGGTCCCCGCTTCCGTGACGAAACAAGAGTCCGTCGTAACCTGCCAGGAAGTGGTCCGTGGTCAGTGGGGGTGGACACTGGTCCGGTTTTTATTTTACCAGAGATGCGTCCCATTTCTACGTGTCCCCACAGTTTTATGCTCACAAAAAAAAAAATTATGAAATTATTCAAACTGAGCCCAAAAATGTGAAATAACGCGATTCTGTTAATTTTAACAAAGAATTATAAAGGAAAATAATCAGAAATAATGCCAAAACATGATCAAATTTTGCTAAATTATGCGGGGTACATAAAACCCCGGGGACAGTTCTACGGAAGACATATTCGATTGTTACAGAAGATTATATCCCATTTTTACTGAATGCGCGTCCAATTTTTAGGGAGGGCGGAGAATAAAGGGGGCGGCGGTTCCAACCAGACTCCTCCCCCCTCCCCTTTTCCCCTTTTCTCCTTCATGTTATATGCTAGCATGCTAAGTTTGATTGTTGCTGATTGGTTCGTGTGGGTGGTTGGTGGATGCTCTGGTCTTGTTTGCTTCTTTTTTCATAGGAAACAACATCTATCGTCCTTATCTCCCCTTCTTCTTTTTTTTATATTTGTTACTCTCTGGTAACACCCTTATCTTCTGGCGCTCATATGACCTTAAACAGTTGCGAGCGCCGTAAAACCTCTACTAAAACTTATTGGTTCATTAATGAAGACCGGTCTGTGAATTGAGTCCCGTTGTCCTTCCTTTCTTTGTACATTACTCTCAAGTAATACGGAGAAACTTCCGCTCTTATTTGACCTAATTGTGCTGCACCTTCCGTTAACCCTATCTGTACGCCCTGTCGTCGTTTTGTACCCCCGGGGTTGCATTCTTCACATTTTAGAATAATTCTAGTACAAAGATCTCTTTGAAACTTTCAGTATTTCTTTTTTATTTTTTTTATTTAAAAAACCAAATCGTTTTGACAGACTGCTATGCAAAGCGTACGGATCGGATTAATATAACGAGCAAATTTCCTCTGTGGAAAGTGGTGGCACAGAGTTCCCCACGTCGTATGGATACGATAGTAAAACTCGACGTACGGATAGGGTTAAACTCTTACTAAAACTTAATGCGGTCTTGACTTAACTTCTTGTCAGACAAATGTGGAAACTCGCGTGTCTATTAAATCAAGGAATCATCAAGCTGTGGGTGAGCGAGTAAGTGAGTGTTGGGTTATCGCTCTTGAACTCTATGGATGGCGACCGTGCTTTCTTCTGATGTGTAGGCTTTGTGAACAGGTCTTGATTTGTGCCAAGTGTCAGGTCAAGGGAGACCACTAGACTACTACTAGAGTCTACTACTGTGTTACTGTGCTTTTCAGAAGGGGGGAAAAAACACCCCACGCTTGCCTCTATACCCACGGCCTATTACTCCCTGCGCTTCATACAAGGACTTTACGTTTAACCTCCTTGGCTTCATATTAAGGAAGCACTCTACTCTACGGGGCTACTCATTCAGGGCGCTTTATAATAAGGGAAGCCACTCCTCCCCGCCCAATCTGTGTGAGAAGGGAGTGTACTCTGTACTCTTGTGTGTCAACTGATTGGACCATGGCTCGCTTATCGTCCCTGATTCAGGTCGGTCAGTACTTGAAGCTGGGCCAAGGCAGCTCGGGCTCGTCTGCTGAGTAAGGAAGACTTGTGTTCTACTACTATACGTGGTGTGTGTGTGTGTGTGTGTGTGTGTGTGTGTGTGTGTGTGTGTGTGTGTGTGTGTGTGTG